TAGGTCCTATATTTGTTCCATATCACCCCTGCCAGGTCCTATACTATTCCGCCATCCGTGTCGGGTCCCACTCCACTTCTATACCATCCCTGCTGGGTCCCATATCATGTCTCTACCAACACTATCAGGTCCCACGCCAGCTCTACACCATCTTTAGGATGTCCTACACCTTTCCATGACCATCCCTATCAGGTCCCATACCATTTCTATACCATCCCTCGTCGTGCCAGTTTCGTCTCCATTTTAGGTCGCATCCACGATCTTTACAATCTCGATTAGGTCGCACACCAGTTCTATACTATTCGGTTTGATAGGATTCGTGAACCAGCCTGGTCAGGTGTCATCATATGTCTAAACCATCTGGAGCAGATCACATGCAGTTATTCCACCATCCTCATTCGGTCCCATACCATGTCCGCACCACCTTGAGTAGGGCCCATATCATTACTATACGTTCCTTACTTGGGCTCATACCAATACTTACAATCTTTACAAGTTCCCATGCTTTTTCTGTATCGTCCCTGCTATGTCCCATACTGTTTCCATACGGCCACGACAAGGTCATATACAATTGCCATCCTTGTCGGGTCCCATATCACTTCTATTGAATGGCCTTCGGCCCATCCCGACACCGTGCCCGGGTTGTGGGTGTGACGCCTATTGGATGTTCGTTGGGCTCTCGTGGGGGGCCTCTTGGGGGCCTCTTGAAGGGGTTTGGAGGCCTTGTGTGGGCCGTTTGGGGACCTCTTGGGGGCTCTTTTGGACCTCTTGGGGGCCTCCTGGGGCGTCTTGGGGCCTCTTGGAGGCGAGGTCCGTGGATGTTCGTTGGGATATCGTGGGGGGCCTCCTGGGGACGCTTGGAGGCAGGTGCGACGCAATCAATGTCGATGCGCATGTTTGGAACCGAATTAGCGGGGCGGCGTCCCGCGAATCCGACGCGGAGCCCTCCAGGAATCACCGGTTCGGCGCGCATGCTTTGAGGCCATGTCGCGGAGCGGCCTAGCCTATATAATCCGACGCGGGGCACTCCGCGAATCGCATGCTTTGAGAAGCATTTGCAGAGCGGTGCTCCGTTAATTCGATTCGGAGCACTCCGGGGATCGGCGCGCAGGTTTTGATGCCAATTTGCGGAGCGGCGCTTTGCTTATCCGACGCGGAGAACTCCGCGAATCGTATGGTTCGGGGCCACAAAGCGGAGCGGCGCTCCGCTACTTCGACGCGATGCACTGGGGAAATAAGGATCGGGGCCCTTTAAACAGTCCTCAGGAGTGAGGACTGAGGCTCAGGGGACTAGGAAAGAGGGCCCGAGGACACTCCACTTCGTGCCACAAAGGGCATGGTGGCGGATACCGTATCCACTGGGTCCCGCATAATTCTTGCACCATTTTTATCAGGTCCCACACTATTCCCATACAATTTCAATTCGGTCCCACACCAGTCCTTCACCATTTCCACGATGTCCCATACCATTTCTTCGGCGGCGTCATACAATTTCCGTACCGTTCCGATGAGATCGCGTACCATGTTTATACCGTGCCCTCTCGGTGCCGCACCCCTTCTGTATTACTTCTAGTAAGCCCCGCACCAGTCCAATATCTTCGCTATCATGTCCCCACACCAGGAATCTTTAAAGTATTTGGGTGTATGCCGAAGTGCCATACCCCGTCGGATTTGTATGTGATCTGATACTGTCCGTGCAGGATTCTTTGAAATCAGAGGCAGCAGCGTGGAAAAGAGATTCCCCGCTGCAGTGTCCCAGCGGAGAACCGCGGGTCATGCCCGGAGGCCGCGAGGACGACATCCACCTCCACGCCCATATCCTCCTTGACTGACGTCCACCACCTCATCCTCCTCCGTCCTCCGCAACAAACACTGCTCGTGCACCTTCTCAAGCAGCACCACCCACCCTGGCATCCCCTCCCCATCGTCGTCCTCGTCCTCCTCCTGGCCATCCTGGTCCTCCTCCTTCTCCTGTTCGTCGTCGTCGTCGTCCTCCTCCTCCTCCGGTTGCGCGCCCGCGGTCGGGTTGAAATGTGTCGCCCGCTTGCGGTTGCGGTCGCGCGCCCGCGGGCGGGTCGACATGTGTCGCCAAGTAGCGGTTGCGGTTGCGCGCCCGCGGGCGGGTCGAAATGTGTCGCCCAGTTGCGGTTGCGGTTGCGCGCCAGCGGACGGATTCAAATGTGTCGCCCAGGTGCGGTTGCGCGCGCGCGGGCTTGTTGAAAGGTGTCGGTGCGGTTGCGGTTGCGCGCGCGCGGGCGGGCTGAAATGTGTCGCCCAATTGCGGTTGCGGTTGCGCGCCCGCGGGCGGATTGAAACGTGTCGCCCAGTTGCGGTTGTTGTTGCGCGCCCGCGGGCGGGTCGAAATGTGTCGCCCAGTAGCGGTTGCGGTTGCGCGCCCGCGGGCGGGTCGAAACGTGTCGCCCAGTTGCGGTTGCTGATGCGCGCCCGCGGGCGGGTCGAATTGTGGCGCCCAGTTGTGGTTGCGGTTGAGCGCCCGCGGGCGGCTTGAATTGTGTCGCCCAATTGCGCTTGCGACCCCGCGGACGGATTGAAATGTGTCGCCCGGCTGCGGTTGCGGTTGCGCGCCCGCGGGCGGGTTGAAATGTGTCGCCCAATTGCGGTTGCGGTTGCGCGCCCGCGGGCGGTTGGAAATGTGTCGCCCAGTTGCGGTTGCGCGCCCGCGGGCGGTTTGAAATGTGTCGCCCAAGTGCGGTTGCGGTTGCGCGTCCGCGGGCGGTTTGAAATGTGTCGCCCAGTTGCGGTTGCGGTTGCGCGCCCGCGGGCGGGTCGAAATGTGTCGCCGAGTTGCGGTTGCGCGCCTGCCGGCGGTTTAAAATGTTCAAGGTGCCTTCCTGACGTTCAGCCAGTCAATCAGTCAGTCACCGGCGGGCACGGGAGTTCACCCGGTTCCACCATATTCTAAGTTGTCCATGCGGGTCGTACGGGGCTTTGTACAGTCCGTGTCGGATTGGTATCAGGTGCTATACATACTGTCCGCGCTGGAGTTGTACAGGATTCCATGCAGTCCGTGTCGCAATTGTATGGGATCCGATGGAGTTCCGAGCAGGATTTCGTTTCGCCATTGCGGACATACATCAACGCCGGCAAACTCCCATGGATACCCTTGAGGCTTCCCTCGTAGGGATTCCCATGCCGTTGTTCCCCGCCTCACCCCCCCAACTGGACCAGGGGCGCGATGCCGGCCTACACCACTACAGGAAAAGGCGAGGGAGGCTCTCCCAGCTCCAGGGGATGCCAATCCGGCTTTTTCCTAGCTGTTGTGGTGTTATTGGTTGCGTCTGGGAGGACACCCAAAAATTCTTACGACGTGATCGGGCGTGATTCACGGATGTTTCCGGGTCCTGTGGGGTCGTGCGCGTTTTCAGAGACGTAGAGTATCACTCGTGAGAACCATTGAGTTCCGCGTTCCGAAAAGTATCGGCCAGCGAACACAACGGTTACCAAATTACTGAGGTAACGAAGATATCGCAACGTTGCGATTTTTTTCGTTGTAGCTTTTCTCGTTGTGGCTTTTATCGCTGATGTTTCGTTGGTAGCGAGCCGAGGGCGTCGCAAACCCAAGCGCGGCGCACCGTTGAGGCGAGTCTGCCCCCCTTCGGGGGCACCCCCCAGGCCGATATTACACCCACGTAGACAATCCGCAGAGGGTATCTATACACCACGGCCATCCCTGGTCAGGGTCATCCTGGGTTCTAGGATGATGTGGGGACCCGCGTGGCCTTAGCCAGTACGGTAGATACACAAACTATATATTCCCATTCATATATGTTTACAGGGCCAGGGGCCCTGGAAAAAACGCCAGCCCCCCCCACGACTTTGGCCCACCCCGGGCCTCTCGGGCAGCCCTCCCAGGCGACCCCCGGATAACCCCACGAGAGCCCGAAGACGGCCCCAGAGGTTCAGAGGGCTCCAGGCGTTCTGGCGCGCTCCCGAAACGACCCCAGGGAGCCCCAAGACGGTCCACGACGACCCCAAAGAAGTCGTCATACCCCCACTTAAACGTCCCAAGAGGCCTCCGAGCACTCCCAAGAAGGCCCCAAGCGGCACAATTCACTGATTCTCTGTTAGTTTTTGGTGAATTCGAGGGTTCTCCTCTTTTCGGCTTCCTGACGCTCCAAGACGGCGGTCTTCTGGGCGTCCGAAGCCGCCAGGGAGGCTCGAACATCGCCGCACAGCCATCCGAACGGGCTCCCAGGCAGTCCAAGAGAGCCCCAAGACGGCACGACAGGGTTCCAAGATGGCTTAAGAGAGCCCCATGACGGCCCAAGATGGCCCCGAGACACCCTCCGAAGCATTCCACATCTCAACCGGGTCGTTCAGGGAAACCGCCGTTGTGGTAGGCAGCCCGAGGAAGCCCCCAGAAGCCCCCAGAGGACGCCCGGGAGGCCTCCAGAAGGCCTGCAGACAGCCTGCAACATGTCCGTGAGGCCGCCGGAGGCTCTCTGAGGAGGAGCCTCCGCAAAAAGAGCTGAGGAGGATGGGGAGAATACGCAGGGCAGTGCAAGAATGAGGGAAACGAAGCGTGGAAGAAGGACAACGAATACCATGATCAGAACGGCGATGCCAGAGACGGCAACACGGAGTTATCACTACAACACGGAATTATCGCTAAATTGTCGGTTTGACCCTCCTGGCATTCCGTCTGCATACCAAACTTCAAGGACCAATGTGCATGGTGCGAAGCGACATTGCAGTCTTATGTGTGTAAAAACACATACATGTATATTTAGATGCATGCATATGTATACATGAATGTATACATCGAACTATAAACATGTGTATCTGCATAGACGTGCATACATATGCATATATGTATATAGATGTGCAGATGTATACATACATATGTAGATGCACATCCATTCACACACAAGTGAGTCAGTATACGCTCGCCATTCAGGCCCTGGCCATGCCTGTTGGTGGTGGTGGTGCTCAGGTGCTCTCGGCGTAGAGTATTATTCCGCCTCCGTTCGTTTGCCGAGGAGCAAGAAGGACTTGGCGAATTTCTCGGCACGGAAAGAGGACGCGGATGGGCGGGGCCATGCCGCTTCATCGGCCAGGCCATTGCCCAGGGAGGCCTCCCATTCGCCCTCCTTTTCTTTCCCTTCCCCTCCTAATCATACTCTATGTCACTTCTTCTTCCATCTTCCCTCCTCTTGCTCCCTCTTCTTGTTTCGGCACTTTCAGATGGTGATCGCAGGTGAGTTCTCAGTATTGATGGGGCCTCTCCTCCTCGAACCTTCACCCTGGTCCGTTGTCCTTCCTCCGTTGTCATGACGAGATAGATCTGCCGCATGACCTGGCGCATTATCAATCAGTCTGCTACTTCTGCCTCCGAGATCGGCACATGTCCATTTTGACGTTCGACGACGACGTCTCTCATCTTATTCTCCTCTATCTTCCATCACGCCTGTGTTGACGTGGATCTCATGCTGCGGGCCGGTGTTTGTGGTTCTCGGGGCCCGTATTGGGCTCCTGGTGGGCGCTGACTCTGGACGACTGGCCGTTCTGATTTTCTTCAGGCCAGTGGAGGTCTAGTTCTTTGGTCTCGTCAGGCAGGCTCAGGACGAGGCGAAGTCGCTCCAGGCTCCAGGGCGTCCTGGACAGCTCTGAGAGCGTTTTGGAGCAATCGGGAACGGCCGTGGCGCTTTGGCACTTCCTCGAGGCTCGCCGGAACTCAGAAATCCCTGAGTTCACCTCGCGTGTGGGGCTCCAGCCGCCCGAGCGGCAAGCTGTGCCTCAGCGCAGGCCAGCTCCTGCCGCCAGACCGACCGAGGCGGGGGGTTGAAGTCGCGACGCAGCTTGCGTGCATCGTCTTTGCCCCCAGCCCTCCCCTCCCCTCCTGGCCCCGCTCTTCCTGGGTGCTGACAAATGTGGTTCTCATTACGCGTTCCACGGGAGTGTTTCTGTGAGTGTCCACCTGGCCGCCGAGCGGTAGTTTTTGCCCCTGCGCCTACTGGCGCTGGCTGCCACCATCTCGCGACGGGAGGATGCGGCCCTGTGGCCTTGGCGATTGGTTGCCCTGCAATAGCTCGAAGTGCATAAACTGTACTCTCATCAATCGTTATGATGCTTCGCAGGGTAGGAAGACAAAGAAAGCTTACTGCCGAGTCTGTGAGAGAAGCAGGGGTCGGAGGTGGTCGGGGGAGGGGGGAGAGTGTGGAGAGGGAGAGGGAGGCGGAGAAATGGGGGGAGGAGGAGGAGGAGGAGGAGGAGGAGGAGGAGGAGGAGGAGGAGGAGGAGGAGGAGGAAGGAGCGGCCAGGGATCAGAGTAAGGCGGTCGGAGAATGTCAGTTCGTTTCCAGTGAGCGTTTCTGTGAGCGGCCGCCAGGCCCCCCCTCCCCAAACCAGTCCGACGGGCACTGTGCATGGAGGGGAAGCATCCCGCGGCATCGGCCCCTCCTGCTGTGGTGGCTGGGGCCCTGCGATCTCCCCCAGCGGTGAGAGGACATGCCCACTCAGCTGCACTACACAGACGACGGCAGTGGCTGGGACAAGGGCTTCGCGACTGCCTGAGCTGGCGCGCGCGCGTGCTCAGAGGTTCTATTTTCTCTCCCAGCGCCTGGTGTTCGGCTTGACGGGACAGCTGGCACGAGGTGGAGCATAACGACCTGGAGCAGGTAGATGAGGAGGAGGAGGAGCAGGAGGTGGAGGCGGAGGAGGCCAAGGAGTCTGAGGTCTGAGGGGGATGAGGAGGACGATTTGATAAAGATAGTGATGATGGATGATGGATGATGACGATGTTGATGATGCTGATGATGATGATGTCGATGATGATGCTGGTGGTGATGATGCTGAGGATGCTGATGCTACTGATGATGATGCTGATGATGCTGCTGATGATGGTGATGATGACGAAGACCAGCGCACAGCTTCGGATGATGTCTGAGATCCACCGCGCCCCAGCGCGGAGACAGAGGCCTGGGCCTCCGAGCTCTTCAGGAGGATGAAGCAGCCCCCGCAGCAGAGCTTGATGCTGCTGCCAGATCCCTGAGAGTCTGGCGGTAAAATTGGGCCAGGGGGACTGGGGGTTTGAAAACAACAGGTGAATTCTTCCCCCCTTTCGGGTGTCTTAAACTGAGAGCCTTTGAGAGACGGTCGGCGGCACCTGTACTCTGCGGCCCTTGACGTAAACACACCGAATTTAACCCCCTGCCTTGCTCCATATAAGAGCCGCAATCTTTGCAGATAATCAGGGTTGACGAATTGTCTAAATATTCGAACCATAGGAGATTGTGCCGTTTGGGGTCCTGGGCCAGCTTAGCCATAGCAGCACAAAACCCTGGGCACTTCTCATTCTGACGGGCAATCTGAGATTGGCTAGACTTCGCCGTCACTCGGCAAACGGTGCATAACCATTTACCCCTTATATATTCCCAATTGTGAGTCGCGTCCGCAACCTCTGGCGCAACCGCAGGCGGCGGAGGAGGAGGCGGGGGAGGCAGAGGGACGGCCCCAGGGTCCCAGACATGAGGAGCGGACGCGGCTCCGATGGGGGGGTTGGAACTCATGGGGGCCTCGAGGCCCTTCTTGCCTCTCTTTGGGGCCAAGGCGGGCCACTTAGGGAGGATTCGAGCCAGGTATCTTAAAAATCGGCCGAGCAGTTGGGTTTGATTCGCGTGGGATTCGACCTCGGACCTGCTGGGCTGGGCCAACTTCTGGGCCGCCTGCTTAGCCGCCTTGTCGGCAGCATCGTTCCCGATGGCATGGGTCCGTTCCTCGGGGGAAGAAAACTCGGCTTCCAGATTCTGGTGGCCTTTCACCTTGCATATACAACTGCTAGGGCGGACGCGGCACGCGCCTGCCAAGACCTTGAAGCCGCTCATCGGAGACCTGCGAGAAAAGCGAGGAGCCAGATGGAGGTCTATTGCGGCTTTATACTCCGTGTGCACATGTGTTATCGACGGCGAGGCATGACAAGCTAAAAGAATCGCAAGCTGCTCTGCAGCTCCTGAGGTCTGTCGAAACTGCTGCCCCACCTGACCCGTGAGAATGGCGAATGGCTCGTCTTCTCGCAGGGAAACTACAGAGAATCCAGCCGCATTGTAAGCTGGGTGTAGTGAATTGTCGCAACTACCGTCAGTGTAGACTTGGCCTACGAAGGCCTCGTGCAGAGACAAATCTGGGTCCCTGCACCAGAATTCTACGTCTTCGATCCCGAGGCCGGGCCTGGCTCCCACGGAAAACTCGGGGTCCCGCTGAAAACCAAAACGCACCAAGGGCTCGTCGCTGCTCGACTGCAGCGTGTCCAACTCTGTTGGACTGAAACACTCTTCACGCTCGTTCCTGGACAGCTCGCAGCCGAAAACGCGGTGCTTGATATCATCAGACTCGGCACCACAGGGGCAGACGGGGTCGACGGGATAGCCTGCATCCTTGGCTCGAGCTTTTGTCCAGCAACCTTGGGTAAGAAACGTCGAGAGACAGCCTCGCTCCTGCTTCGAAAGCGACAGATCTTTCAAGGCGGCGTCGGCAGCTGCAGGGTCTAGCCTAGCACCTGGAGCACCAAGCTTGCTCGCAGCCTTCTCTTTCAAAATATTGAACCAGTCAGCCTGCATGAGCTGCTGTACAAACGCAGGAGAGTAGCAGGTCATGGGGTATTGCAGGCCACTGCGAGAAACAAAAACGAGAGGGGAGGCCAGACTCCACCCAATTCGTTTGAGAGACAAAATCATGGCCCCGAAGGGCCCCCGAACGGCCGCCCACCTCTGAGGCGTGGAGCCCAAAAGGCTCTCCCCGCGGGCCTTGAGAGCTCTCAGCGAGGCCAGCGATTGACACGAATTGGTGGCGGCACTCCACACAAGCATATGCCACAGCATGGCAGGTCCAAGGGCGAGCTTCCAGGTGGGGTCACCCACTAGGATTAAGCTTAAAGTTCTGCTTCTAGTAGCACATTTGGGCCCTGCTAGCTTTAAATATTGTTGCTGGGCAATTGCTAGTTGCGAATTATTAAGGCCCGTCACTTCGTGTCCAAAGGATGTTGCTGCAAAAATCCCCGTGTTGTAAACCTTCCTCGTGTCACCTCCTCCTTTCTGAATGGCTCCCAACCTCCTCATCCTTCTCTTGATCTGCTCCATCCTCGTCCTGGTCAGCCTGTTCTTTCGCCATCGGCGCTTGATGCAGGCGAGCAAACGGCGGGTGCCCAAGTCGAGGCTGCTGACCACGACCTTGGGCTTCTGGCTGTGAGACTTCAAGAGGAGGTCATCAATGAACATGAAAAGGTCGAGGAAGGGGTTCTGGTGGGTCCAGGAGTCCAGGGGTTCCAGGGTGTACATCTGGATGAGATAAGTAGCAAACCCACACCCTGCAGCTAGACCGTACTTAGTACAACCGACATAGACGATCATATCCTGGAGGGCGACGAACCTAGGACTCGAGTATATGCTGATGATGAGCCTTAAGAGGGTAGCAGGGAAACCACTTCTAAGGGCTCGCTTGGCTAACTTGCTTCTATTGACGTGCTCGTAGTAGTTACTGAGGTCGTACAAAACCATACCAGACACAAAGGCTTCGCTCTTCTTAGAGTAGGTTTCGCAATCCAGATTCTGCTTGAAAACGAGCTCCACTATCGAATGTCCTGCTTGGTGGGCGAGAAAGGGTCGCCTGTGATGCCTCTCCCATTCGCGAGCAGCTGACTGACGAATGCGCGCCCACGTACGATAGAGGCCTGACATCATTCCTATGGATCTCATAGCTGGCTTTGTTGCTGTCTTATCCTGTTGCTTGTGCTTCATGATGAGGACCGAGATGATAGCTTGCAGCTGCGACGGCATGAACCCCAGGCATTCTATGACCAGGATGAGCCGAGCTATGAGATCCGCCTGCAGTTCTGAAAGCAAGAGGAAGTGCCTCGGATGGACTCCGTCCCAGGTCGAGGCTGTTCGGGGGGGGAAGCTCTTGGCGGCTGCTTGCGCCGTTTCACCTGTGAGAAGGCCCAGAGCGACGCGATCGTCGATATGACTAGGAACAGGGTTGGGTTGGGTCCTCATTTCCGTATCCCAGATGCTGGCAAGTCTTTCAGCTTCCCCCTCCAGAATTCTCGACGGCCTGCCTGACCACTGGCCGCGGTGAAAGGTAGAAGCGGGCTTCCAAGCCTCAAGATTGCGCGTCCAGCGATGTGCCCAGCCAACGCCACCTTGCAGTGAGGTCTGCACCCAGGAAGCCCAGGCCTTAGAGGCCGCCAGATTGCTTTTGCCCCTCTCCGAATCGATGGACTTGTCCAAGTCCTCGATCAGGGTCCCGATGGCGTCGTCGGCTGTGCCCATTGCTAGCGTACCTGCTGCACTGTCGGAGATCAGCAGCTCGCCGAGCCGCTGGGAGGCGAGGAGCCCCTGCTTGAGGCTCTCGACCTCTTGAAACACTTCTGGAGCATCTTGCAGCCCGGCGACGCCAAAGACTAGTTGCTGATGATCTTGATGATGGATGCTGTAGTTGATGTCCGTGAGCCTATTGCGAAGCCAACGTAGAGGTGCTTCTAGGGATTTCCAGCGTGATCTAGCTTTAGCGTCTTTGTGCTTGGCTCTTACCCATTTGATGATAGGGGGGCTGGCTCTTGGAGTAGAGGAGTGCTTCAGCGGAGTGTCCGTTGCTCGGCTGATAGTCTGCTCCAAATCTTTGACGACCGTGAAATAGACGACGTCAAGTACTGCTTGCTTCTGCTTCTGGCTGAGAGGCTTGGCGGCATCAGCTAGTAATTCATCTGCATAGTCAAGTGCGCTTGCACTCTGAGTCCAGGCCAGCTGCTGGGGCTGAGGCCCGAACGGCCGTGTTGACGGCAGCCTCTGCGGCCGAACCAACACTGGGATCATGAAACTGTCGGAGTCCGAGAGGTCGAGACACACTGGCCTGTGGGGAGACATCGGATAATTAGCCCACGTGCGGGCCTTGTCGACATATTCACTGAGCGTCTTACTGATAATGAAATAGTCCAAGACCGATTGAATTTTCTTCACGCGGAAGGTTGGGCTCGATGGGGCAACCACTTGAAGGGAGGCCCTGTGGAGGTAATCGAGGCTCTCGATCCTGGACGGCGATAAGTTGAAATCTCCAGCAACGATGATCGGGACCCGCTCCTGATCCTGCTGGACGGCGATGTCTGCTAACAGGCCTAGGTTGACTTCTCCAAGCCCGCCAGCTGCTTTAAAATACGCGCACATGAGCCCTAGACGAGGTAGGCCAGGGAGCTCCAAAAGTAGACCAGTTAAGCGACTACGGTCCACTGTGCTCCTGAAACTCATGTTGGATATGCCAATGTCGAGGTTGGCTCTGACTAGAATGGCAACACCGCTTACAATCTGCTCATTGTCATTGAGTGCTGCTGGTGAGATATGCGCCAACCAACCCATTGATTGGCACCACTGAACTTGCTGCGAAATGACATCCCCATCTCTGAGCTTGTGTTCCTGGACACAAATCAAAGAACAGTCACAGGCAGCACGAGATTTGATGAACTGCTTGAACGTGGGCCAGCAGCTCCCGTTGAACGTGACGATGCCGAGCTTGTTAAAGAGACGGCGTCGGCGCCCCTGAGGCCGCGGCCTGCACAGCTGCCGCGGCACCGCGCACCTTCTTGGCCCTCTCGTCATCGGTGCCGTGGGAGGCCATGAGCTCGGAGAGCTGCGACAGGCTTTCGGCTGTGCGCCGATGGCCTGCAAAGTTGTGGGGCATCTCCTCATCATGTAGATCACGAGCTGCCACTGCTTCTCCACTGCCGACCGACATCGTCTCAGCTGCATCTCGCTCGGCGGCGGGCACGCCACGGGTTGCGGCGGCGGAGGGGGGCCCAGGCCATGGCGATCCGCCGAGGCCTGCCGCACCCGCGCCAGGCGCTGGCGGTGGCCCCCCGATGCCGCCGCTGTCGCCTCCCGCCTGCGCCCCCATGGCTGCCAGGTGCTGCTGCTGAAGCTGGTCGAACAGCTCGGCGACCTCCTGCACCTTGGCCGTGAGCGCGGGCGGGATGCAACCACCCTCTGGAATCTTGGACTGAAGGGCGGCGCTGAGCAGACCTTGCACGTTGGAGTCTGCTGCCACCTCCTGTGCTGCTGCTGACGCTGCCACTGCACGCTGCGCTTCCAGCATCTGAAGTTCTTCACGAGCCTCAGCCTGGTCATGCAACTTCGATTTGTATTCGTCTGCCATCTTCTCGATCGAGGACGCCAAATCTTCGAGCTCGGTCTCGTAGCTGGCGAGCTTGCTCTTGATGGCATTGATTTGGCCCGTGAGCGATTGAGTCTGCTGGTCCAAACTCTTGCCCCTGAGCGCTTGCATCTTCGCTTGCTTGAGGTACTCAACTGCGTCGAGATATTCTTTCTTGTCGACTCCAACCCACTTGCGCCAGAATGAAACCTGTGCCTGAGCCAACGCCACTGGATCAGGCGGTCCCTCCTGGGACTTGGGTGCCTCCTCTGCCGCCTCAGCAACGGCGGCCTGAGGTGGCGGTCGGGAGCCGCCTCTGCGCGGGCCTCTAGGACGGAAAGCGTCGCCATCTGCCTTGTCACCCTTGGAGCCATCCTGCTTGAGGCTGGACCCACACAGAGAACACCACTTCTTGGGAGCCCATTCCCAACCACGGCAGCCACGCTTAGAGCAACAAGAATAAGAGCCCTTGCCCATGGCGGCAGCCTGCGCGGGTGCGGGAAAAGGAATGTAATAGTGGCCAAAATCAGTGAAGCCTGCGGGCCGCTGAATGGTGCAGCGTCGGGAGCAGGCTTTTCGGAAGTCGGCGCTGATGCCCCTCGAGGGGCGGGGATTCCGCAGATTGCGACTTGAGCCAAAATGGCTACGGATGATGACGAAGAGGAGGAGGAACAGGAGGAGAAGGAAGGTGGGGAGCGCAAGGAGGATGAGGAGGAGGGGCGGAGGTGACAG